TTCGTGAACGCTCCCTGCTTTCAGCTCCTGGGACAGCCAATCAAAGGTGATGCAACCTCCGTGAGAAAGCGGCGGCAGATAACACACCCGCACTCGTAGCCTGACCTCAATCTGTGTGGCCAAATCACACAGGGTCTGACTGGGATGACTGTCGCCAGACCCGCACCTCGGATAACGCCCCACTAGGAATCGGACTGCACTCATCCGAGCGTCAATTTCCTCATACCTATTCTCCCACTCCTTCTGTACATAATAAGCTGCCCTTACCACTCTGGCCCCCCATGTCTTCTCTTTTCCTAAGGAACCGGGCCTGAAGATTGCAGTTACTGGGGTTTAACTCACATAACCCTCTACGATACGTCGCCCTCCTTTCTGGTCGGTTGCTTTGTGTATTGTCTAAGAGAGAAAGAACATTCCAGGCTTTTTGTCTTAACCTGGTTTATGTGGGGTGGGAACCAGTTTGTGTCTGGCCCGCGCCTACAGTCGGTCATCTTGACTTTGTCTTACCACAGGTGCCTTCTGGGAGGCAGACATTTGGGAATGCTGTTCGAGTTTATTTCGCTGTTGGGCTTATCTGTTGTGGCAGCGGTTGATTTCGTTGCTTTTGACCATCGAGCTATCTTTTTCTTATGTGAAAGGTGAGCTAGCGTTGCGAGTGAAAGCAGTTCCCGCCAAATACTCAGCGCTTCAACGTGACGGCACTGATCGTTGATGAAGAAAAATGTAATGGCGGTTTGGATATGTCCCTTGTGTGCCGGAATAATCATTGCTGGTATAGTACTTCAAGGGGCTGAAGACAGAATGCAGGCGTTCGAACCTCGGTAGAGGAAGTCTCAAACGATCACTTACCATTTAAATGTTAAGAGACAGACTGCAGTCCGAACCTCGGTCAGAGAACAGCTTCTGTTCGAAGCTTTTTTGTGCAATTCAGCCTTTCAGCGAAATCGCTTTCTACCGTCTCATTCAATCCATGGCATAAGACCTGAAGCAAAATATAATAGGAGAATTGGCTTGAACCTGCGTAAGGTCTTTTGCTCTTGTTGATAGTCTAGTGGAGCCTCGTAAACGACAGTAAGACCTTTCTTTTATTCCAGCCAGAGTTTAATTTGATAAGGATGTCCTGTCCAAAACATCGTTGCCGACGATGTTTTCTGTGTGCCCTACAGCACGGTAGACGTGGGGACGGCAACGTTTGTGTCAATAGTAGGCTTGCGCTGCATCTACTGCACTCTCTGTCTTCCCTCGTCCCCCTGAACCCACATCATGGTTCACGACAGACTAAAGAGGTCTGGACGCGAAATCGGGCGCAGAACGGTATGATACTGTATGAGCTTGCGTCTGCCGTGCCCTGATCTTGCGTCCATGTTGGCCTATCGCAGCTCCTTCGTGGTCCGTTTCAGGAGCAGACTTTCCTAAAGGTGATGGATTCGACACATTGATGTTTTTTGTGGTCACTAGTGTTTGAACCTGTTTTTAAGGTCAATATGTCATTACCAACAAAAGTAGCGTTGTCATTTCATACTAATTGCAGTTTAAAAGAAGTGGGAAATACTACTAGCCATCTGCAGTATGACGTTGATCTGTAGATTGTTTTTTAAACTTTTTCGGTTGACTAGGAAAGAATATTTGCTAAATAAAACATAATTGAATTGTTTTAACGCTTTGAAATAACCACCAGAGTGTTTCTCTAAATTTCCTAGGGTCTGCTCACTCTGGCACGATTTATACCTCCGGTTCAGACCCACACGGTCATGTAATTGTGACTCGCGATCAGAAAGTCTCCAGAAAGCCTGCCTCACGACACAGTAGGTCGCCACCAATGAAGGGCGTAACTGTGATCACAGGAAGGCCTTTCCAGCTTGACTTGTCCCCCAGACTCGCCACGAGTCGACCTTTGCCGAAGTTGCAATTGTTCGGTAGGGTACAAAGCAACCACTTGCGTTGTAGTTCACGTCGGTCAATTCGTCCCTTTACATCAAGATGTCGGGGTGAGTTCTCCACCACCGTTTTAAATTTACCGGTTTTTTATTCTTATTTTAATACGTAAATATGCGTGTTCAAACAATAGTAAGTGATTCCCTTTGTTCCTTACGACAAAATGGGGTCCGGATTCGCAAAATAATTTCTAATTTATTAAATGAGCTGACTAACGCATACTAACCTCCACTTTTATGTATCCTATGTAAGACTGCACGCTTACTGCCTCCTACATCAATACCGTTTCATGCTAGGAATGATGGTTTCATAAATGGGCTTATTTTGTTTTTTTCTGCAACAATTTATACAAATGAATTAATTTTTCCAGTTATTAACTAGTTTCCATTTGCCTTATGACTGTTTCAAGTGTCATTCACACCAGACTTTGTTAGTTCAAGCCGGCTTAGAACTGAGGCATGATGAAGGTGCCTAAATATGTACACAGAGAGTAGAAATGGGAAAGGTTTTACCGTGCCAGTAAATGTGAATGAGTGAATTCTCTCGATCGACAGTCGCAGGCAAACTACATTTAAGTCCTGGTCAAAAGATACAATTTAAGTTTACAACATTGATGGCCTCACTCCTAACCCTAAACCTTGGTGTCAAGCCTAAATCTAAATCCCCAACTCTAACCTGTTAAGCCTAACCTTGACTCTAATCCTTGGTCCTAACTCCTAACACCTACCTCTAACCCTAATCTCAATCGCCTCACTTGTCTACCGAAGGTGAACGCCCGTCCGGGTGTCTTACAAATCAGCCCGAATTAAGTTTAGGACGCGCGTAAGCTCATATTCCTATCTGTTATGCTTGTTGCAAAAATAGGACGCATGTCAGCTATTGATACAATTATAGGAATATATTACTAGAATATACTATCCGCTGGTTACTAGAATTAGCACTCTTAGCAGTGACACATTACATCTAGCAGCAGTATCCTAACCCAAACTTAGTAAAATGTGACACAGCTTTTTGTGGACAGAGGTGAGAGGGCAGAAACCAAGGCAAGCCCTGATGTGCTCCGGGTCTCAAACATGCATTTACTCGGAATAGCATAAACCTTGCTTCATCCTCCCTGTTGAGATTGAGGTGATGAGCCCCAGCGTTGACCTTAATCAGCGACACGCCTGACAAATACTAACGTCAGAAATAGTGCCTGCATTACTAATACTCAGCCACATTCCTAGTTATTAGTAGTAGAAATGGCAGTACCAGCCTGGGTTTTCTTGAGTCTGTCTTGACACCTACTGATGGTGACTGATAGAAGATAGGGCGGTAATACCCGCGCAAAGTCTACTGTCACTTAACACTAAATCAGGCGGTTTTCTGGCCTGCATTTGAGAAGGCGGCCTATGCCCAAGTCCGTTCGATCATCTTGACTTTGTCTTGTCACCGGTTCAAACGGGTACGAGTTAAGAGTGAGGCAGGCAGTTGTGCGTCTATTTCAATTAAATCTCGTTTCTGTCTCCAGTCACCATCCCTGCTCTTGGACATATGGTGGACATACTCGAAATCGATGGTCGAACTACCAACCCTAGCCTTAGCATTGACCTCTAAGTCTAAGCCGAACGCTGGCCCCAATGGTAACACTTGAGGAAGGAATAAACAAAAGAGGAAGGAATTAGTCCAAACCTACCCAAATCACATAAATGGGTATTTCTTAGAAGTAAATACAGGTGGAGCCACGTATCCAAGCGTTACCCTGATGTCAAGGCATCTGAGAAACGTGCCTAAGAAGAAGACGACTCAATCGCTGGGACAATACTTTTATTCGCCTGACGTTT